CACAGTAGCTTTAAGAATACTATAAGCTTTTGAATCTCTTTGAGTATGTGAGTAAATTCATTTTAGTCCAATCCAAGTTAGAATACATTAATAAAACCAGTCATCTTTATTACTTGAAAAATGTGCAAGTAAATCTCTCAGTCAAGTTATAAATTAATCCTGTTTAATTTTTGGAATAATTTAATAATTCCTCCCAGGAAGTGTAAGTTAATACACATCAACAAAGTTGCCAAAGAGTTCACTCCTAGTGACAATTCAACCCAAATCACATTTAGTTGAAGTAACTACTTCAAAGTTTATTCAAAAACTGCTGACATATATGTAAGCTTCCAGGGAGACGTACAAGGCTATTTTAATTCTGATTGTGGGAAGGAATCACAGAGAGTTAAAAGCCTAGAAAGACCAGTTACCTAAAAGGCTGAACAATCTATCTTTGAGGGCCTTCAGGATTTGTTAACAGAAAGCTAAACATACAAACACAGAGATAATTCCATTTTCGGGAGCTGAACTCTAAGTGGCAAAACTAGAGTTGTCATGGTTGTCACTGCCATGGTTTCAGTCAAAACGCTAAATGACCTCAATTCAAACTGGCCACAGGCAATAGTGATCTCAAGCTAAAAACATCAGTTTTAAACACCAAAGTTTGGAGATTCTCTGGATACAAAATGAAACAGTAATAAATAAGAGTTATCTAAGTGTACAACGTTCCTCCCGCCAAAGCTAGCTCATTCCAAGGTATGTTTTGGATGGAGCCTCCATTCTCTTCCTTCAGTGTGCAGCATTCTAGTTTGATGTGTGGTGCCCTGCATTTCCTGTTTCCGTGTCTTGATTCTCTACTATAAATTATGACTCATTCTTAAATCATACAGAAAGTCATCAAAATCCAAAATTTCACAGCACATAGGAACTCAGTTTTTCAAGAGGGCAGCATTCTTAGAACATTACTTGAACCACAGAAGACAAAAACACCAAACCAGTCAATGCAAAAATTATGTCAATCCATCCCTGAGTCAACACATTTATGAAATCAATGAATACAAGCTCTATGCTTGGTAACTTTGGTCTCAGTGCTCATTATTAAAATGTACTATGTGGTATGTTAAGTGAAAACAAGCTATTTTAAAAAGTAAGTACAATGCGACTCCAAATAAAAGTTTTATGAGTGCTCATGTTCCCATGCATCCATATGCACAATGTACGTGTTAAAAGACTGCAAGAATATACAGTACAATAAAATGTTGGCAGCAGGATTATTGGAGATGTTTACTGTCACTCCAGTTTTCTATATTTTCCTATGGTGAATGGTGACGTTTCTCACAACCAGGAAAAAACAGAAAAAGTAGTAAGCTTTGGAAGATATCTTTTGGCTCGTGTGGTCTAAGTATGCTTTAAATCTCCCTGCAGACTCGGAGACAACTACAACATGGAATACACTTCCCCTGGAACATGCAAGGTCACTTGATGAGAGTGGGATCCTTCATGCAAATCAGCCATGCTCTTCACATATACAAGTAAAACAGACTGAGGAGGGGGCCAGAATCCAGTCACAAGGACAGACTTCAAATGACAGAAAGCCCATTGCTTTTTATACATAATGAATGAGGAACCCTACATTTGGGAAACATAGAGATAATTATGTCATTGCCTAGGCATGTGAGGGACCAAAACCATACTAATAAGTATTAATAAGGAGGAACTAACCCTTAGAAAAGACTACTCCAGGAAGTCACATCCATTGGTACTTCTTTATTAAGTGTCCTGGGTTTGTCAACAGGCAGTGTTTTGTAACACCTGACAGCACTATATTGATTATCTGAATCAGACAGATATATAAATATAATTTGGTAACACAGAGCACAAAAAAATCCAATGTCTGGCCGTTAAAAAGGAATCTTTTAATTTACCTACACTGCCTGGAAGTCCTTTAACCAATTTCAGGAAAAGATTTGAATTCCAAAAAGTTATGACAAACATAAATTTCAATGTAAGATCTCAGAGTTACATTTACTGTATATTAGCAGTTTCAAATTACTTAATTTCTTACAGAAGACAAAGAGTTTTAAATAAAGATTTAGGCAATTTCACAAATAGGGCTGAAAATAAAACACTGCTCTCCCCCTATCGGGGCTACTGCCCTTCCAGTCTAAAAAGCATTAATACTGAGTGGGACGGTTCAAAAAATTCAGCTCACAAAAGTCATATCATCACAATGTCAGTATCTGCCTGCCACTCTACTGCACAGCATTGATGGAGGGGCTGCACACAGCATGTTTCACATTGGCAAAAGGAAAAGAACAACTGAAGAATTTTAATGCCGTATTTGTTGAATGAATGCCTGTGAGAGTGTTTACCATCAGTATGGATATACTGCTCAGTGTGGACACTATTGACACTTGAGGCCAGCATATTTTTTGTAGGAAGCTATCCTGGACATAATTGGTTGAGTAACAACATGCCTGGTCTCTAGCCACTAGATGCCAGTAGCACCCCCAACAGGTGCTCTTTGTGGGAGGCAAAATTACACCTGGTTGAAAACCACAGATAGAAAGAAACAAACATGGCTTGTTGGAATGACAGACTCTAAGGACCTCCTTCTGATGAGGAGGAGCATTCTTCACAATTGCACATTCAGAATGATGTGAGCACCTTTCAAGTGTTTCCCCATCAGCCAGCAACTGTGAGTTTTGTCCTACTCACAACTCAGCATAACAATTTCCTACTCTGTGCTGGGCAAGGCATGAGGGACACCTTGTACTCAGGCCCACAGACACATAGGGCCAGTTGGCTTGACTGTTTTTAGGACACACTTTGCCACCACAGAAGTCATGCCAATGCCTCAGAGGCAGTCAAGAGAGGCAAAGCAACATACCCATGTCAAGTAAGGGGCCTCGTGTTCCAATGCGGTTTTTTAAAATTCTTTGCCCTTTTTAGTAACTCCACACATTTCTAGACAACATTGAAAGGCTCAAAAAAGAAAAAAAAGGCCAGAAGGTCTGAGCTATATTTGGCATGGGAAGGCCATCTCTTCTCACAGGGGGTTTGCAAACAGGATTATTACTGGAAGCTCTAAGGACACTTATGGACAGTCTCTGTAACTGTCTGACCCACATGCCCTCCTAACACAATTTGTAATTTTATAACCCTCATAAATTCAAACCCATAACTGACCTTTTCCAAATAAATGTGTGCCACAGAAAGGAAAGAAAGAAAGAAAGAAAAGAAAGAAAGAAAGAAAGAAAGAAAGAAAGAAAGAAAGAAAGAAAGAAAGAAAGAAAGAAAAAAGAGAGAGAGAAAGAAAAAAAGAAAGAAAGAAAATCAGAGAGTATTTCATTGGGTAAATAAGGCTTAGAAATCTATTTAGGTTCATTGATAGGTACCGGGAACATACTAGGTTTCTCAGCCCCTTCCCCCAACAAAGCCAAGACACAGATGGGTGAGGACTAGTGTGTGTGTGTATGTGTGTGTGTGTGTGTGTGTGTGTGTGTGTGTGTGTGCCAGAACAGAACGCCGGATGCTTGGGCAACAGAAAACAACACATGCTGGTGGGGTGGAAAAGGCACCTCTAAGTCAATAAGGCGGCGACTTGCCTCCCTCTGCAGTGTCGGGCTCTGCAGGCTGACAGTGGCTTGCACAAAACCCCTCCTGTGCGGAGCAGCGGAAACTCCTAATGAGATTAGTTGGTGTGTGTGTGCAGACATTACTTAGCGGTGACTAAAGGGGCTCTCTCTTCCTGCAGCAGCCAGTGGAAAATTCAGGGAACATTTTTCCCCCTGCAGCAGCAGAATCCCTTTTACCCTCTCCCCCGTCAACTCCAAAAACAACTCGGCCTCCCCCACCCCAACTGCCCCCACCTCCGGGAGGGGACTGTGGGGAGTTAAAGACCGGCCAGGGGCTTTGAAAGCAGGGAGGGCGGGAGGGGGCTGGCGGGGAAGGGGCGGGGGACCCTCGAACACTACAAAGGAAACTGTAAAAGGCACAAATACATAAACCTGAGAAGGAGCAAACCACAGTTTCTTTGTGAGCTCCTCCAGTGAGTCATTTTCAAGATGCTGTCTGCTGCCAGTTTCAAAGCGGAAGCGCATGGCAATTAGTCTTGCCGTTTCCAGACAAGCCAGAAACTCTCCCGACACTCGTTTTTTTTTTTTTTCTTCTTCTTCTTCTTCTAAAAAGCCCCTTTTGCAGTTTCTGAAATAGCATTTCTTGCTCCCACCCCCACCCGCAGCCTAACTGCAGTTTGTCCCCAGGACAAGTCGGTTCAAAAAACGTAACAAAACAGAGACCTTTTAGTTTTGGGGTTTTTTTAAGCCCCCGCCCCCAATTTAATCTCCCTCCCCCTCCAAAAGTTACGGTAACATTACAGGCCAACAGTCAGTTCGAAGGTAAAGAGCTGGTAACTCCAAGATCATCTCTTGCCCGCCCATCTCCCAAATCGTGACCACTAGACTCTGCCGGCTTTTAAATGTTCATTTGACTGGGCGTGCGCCTGGGGTGGTGACCTGGGCGGGGGGTCACCTGCCCAGCGGGAGTGGACGTAACCCCCAGCCCCTCATCTCCACTGCGATGTCCTCCACCTCCCTCACCATCCCCGTTTCCCTCCCTGGATCCGAGCACCCGAGCCCAGTGCCCACCCGAGGGGATCTGGACCGCAGCGGGGGCTGGAGGTCAGCGGCAGTCCAGCCTCCAGGCACGCAGCCTGCTCTGGCCAGGTGCCCCCTTCCCCTGGGCTTCGCTGTGCGGCCCTAGGACCCAGAGAGCCGTGGGCGCAGGGTCCCCGCAGCCCCCGGCCCGGTGCACGAGCTCCCGCGGTGGCGGCGGTGGCGGCGGCGGCGCGCAGCATCCTCCCCCGCGGGGACGCACCCCCGACACCCCAATCTGCAACCCACCCCACGGCGCCCACCGCCCCACCCCCACCAACCCAAGAGAAGAAAGAAAAAATAAACAAAAACCACCCCAAAGGAAACTTTGCAAGTGTCTGAGCAACAGGCAGTCCTGCAACCTACCCAGATGTGGGGGAGCTTGAGGATCCTTCTTCTGGGGATTTCTAGGAGGACCCGGGCGAAAGCCCCCGACTTTCCATGCTGACAGGCGTCTGCAGACGGTCTGTTGCTCTTGTAATGAGATCCTGATTTTCCCCCCCTTTTTTTTTCTTTCTCTCGCTCCTCTTTTTTTTTCCCCCCTCTGCTGTGTGTGAGAGCAGGAAGTTGGAGCAGTCAGGCCGAGCCGGCTCACTTCCTTTACTGCATTATTCCCCAGGCGGTGTGCAGTCTGTGTAAACAGGCTTTTCCGCCCCGCGCGGTGCGCCGGGGCCGCGGCTGTGTGCCGCGGCTGCCCTCCGAGGCCCGCATACTCCGGCGCCCGGGCCCCGCGCCCGCCCGCACGTCCCGCGCCGCGCCCCCGCCGCCGCCCTCCCCGCTTCCTGCTCGGCCACTCCAGGGGAGGAGCCTCGGGACACGCTGCGACCGACGGCTGCGGCCCCTCCCCACGGTGGAGCTGGGACACCGACTCGGAGCCCGCCCCTCCCCTGTCCCCCCAGGTCCCTGCGCTGAGCATCACCCTGGGGTCGTGTCCTGCCGAGGTGGCCCGGGAGGGAAAAGGCCAGACGTGTGGGGAGGTAGCTGGATGTGCTGTTTTCTATCCTCAGGGATGGAAGACGCGGGGGGCAAGAGCGGGGGGCAAGAGGGGTAGTGTGGACAGGGCGAAATTGGGGTTAGAGATGAAGGATGTACAGAAAACGAGGTCGATGGGATTGGACACAGTCTTATCAAGGACTTGATTTAATGACAATATAATAATAATAGTAATAATAAATCTAAGCCAGTCTCAGAGTAGAAGTCCACTTTGGGGGAAACTAAATTTAGTTTTCCCTAGAAACTGGAGACAGGATTCCGTAGTAAGAGGCCTTGGGTAGTGGCCTAAACAGACCTTTCCAGCCTGCTTAGGAGCTCCAGGTGGTAATGAGCAGCTGAGACAGGGCGAGAGAGGGGGGCGGGCTGTGGTCTCCGGACACTGACTCCCGACCCTGCGACCCTGCAGGAGAGCTGGGCACTGTTCTGCGGCTGCAGGGCGGGTGCAGGGGGGGGGGTCTATTCACAAACCCTTCACCCCCAGTCTTGTGCTTCAAACTAACATCCATCCAAAACTTTCCAGTCCCACACTTATTTAGGGCTGCAGATCAGTGGTTTTCTCAAACTTGAATATTCAGTACTGGGACAGGGGACTTGTTAAAGCCCTGATTGTGGGGCTTCAACCCCTGATTGTACCTGGTGTAATTGTCAGACCCGCTAACAGAATCACCTGGGGCTGGGGGTTGCTTTGGAGAACGATCCAGCAGCATCTTCAACACAGACCAAAGTCAGAGTCTCCAGATGGGGAGGACCTCATTCTGACATTTCCTCCACTGTGTGTGTGGGGGGGGGGCAATCTCTCTGAAAGATCGTTTATAAGCATCTCATTACTATTAAAGGGCGGGCACTGGATTCATGGAAGTTAATGCCGACAGACAGATAGACACACACAAACACATACACATCTGTCAGAACACCTTGTTAAACAGGGCCAGCATTTTTTCATCATAACTGATGTATAAAACATGCTTGGTTGGCACCAGGCTTTCCAGTCCTCTGAAAAGAGATGATGCTATGCAGGGATGTCAAAGTAAGAGGGTAAAGCATCCAGAGGAAGTATGGGAAAGAGCACTGTTTATCAACCCTTGATTTTCCACAGCTAATTTTCCACTTTGGAGATTATCATTTTAAATCCCTAGTTGGCTTCTCCTGTCACTCAGCAGAATTCATACTGTGTCCCTATATAATCCAGCTGTCTGTGGACTGAGAGAATGTGGAATGTAAACTTGTCATCCTCCTCAGAAGCATACAGACTTATGAACACATGTTGCCTTTTATTTTAGAAAGTATAAGCCCAAAAGAAACCTGTCTAACAAAGCTATATACTTTAAGAGTCCCATTTATTCTTGAAAAAGCAGACCTAGCATCTGTGAGAAGATCATGGTCACCAGGGGTGAGGACAGGGTGGGATGAATAGGCAGAACAGCTCTGTGTGGTGCTATGGTGGTGGGTGCATATCAGTACACGTCTGTCAAAATCTACAGCATGCCATTGGGCATGAGCCCTATGGTGAAGGGTGGGCTACAGGCTGAGAGCATGTCAACTTAGATTCCTTGTTTCTAATAAATGCACCACTGTCTTGGGGAAGGTTGGTAATGGGGAGGCTGCTCATATGGGGCAGTAAGATGCTTTCTGCTCATTGTGTGTGTATGTCTGTCTGTATGTCTGTGAACCTAATGCTACTTTTAAAAAGTAAAGCTCATTTTAAAAAACGTATCTTGTATTGCATGATCCATACTCCTCTCTCCATAAACAGTCTTGATTTACAGTTGTATAAGTTATAAGATTTCCTCTGGAGCTTTTGGAACAGGTGACAGAGCCAAAAGGGCATCCATTTCAGATAGCCAAGACAAAGACTCTCAGAGATGACACATAAAACCTAAGGATGAACAGCAGAAGTGGACAGGGTCTCCAGAAGAAAATATAACTCTGGATTCCAAAAGAAGGGATGTATTTATCAGCCTGTGCTGGAATGATACTGTGCAACAAACATTTCCAGAACCTAGTAATTTACTAATGAGTTCTGGTTGGCTGGGCTTGACTGGGCTCTGTTCTGTAGACTGCTTCAAATGTCCTCTCATTTGGGGACCCAGGCTGAAGGAATAGGCACTAGTGGGGACATACGGTTCTTCAGGAAATGAAGGGGCTCAAGAGTGGATATGTCTGCTGACACAGAACGCCTAGTAAAGCCTCTGCTTAGAGCTAGCAGATTACATGCAAATCTAAGTCAGTAGGTTGGGGGGAAGGGCCAGGAGAGAAGGGAGAATTCTGAACAAGTAATAACATCTACCACAGGAGAAAATAGGTGCTGTTCATACAGAGCTCACAAATCTTTCAGATCCCCTAAACAACAACAACAAGAATAATGGGAAACCAGCATGGCTAGAATTCATAGAACTCTTTCTCTATACAGTAGTAAATTGTTCAGTTCAGAAAGAAAGCTCTAGAAATCTCCACAGATTTGTCTGGGGATGTAGCTTAGTGGTAGAGTACTTGCATAGCATGTGGAAAGCCAGGTGCTCCATCCCCATCACTGGGGGGATTAAAGGCAGAAAGAACTACAGAGAGCTGAAAAAGCATAGGGTAGAGAAATAAAATGAGTTTGAGAATGAAACTAAATTATTCTAGAACAGACCAGAAGGAATAATATTGAAACCTTAAGGATTAATGATTCTGGGTAGACACAGTGAAGTATTTGGCCATCGTTACTTTGCAGAGTGCTTCAATATTGGGGTGCAGCAAGTTTAATGCTGGGGAATGGACACAAATGAGTTGTCAGGAAGGTAGCCCACTCTGGGATAAGTGTGCACTGGGAGACCCAGTCCCAAGCCTGCCTTCTTCCAGGAAGGCTGCTAACCACCCTTCCTCCTGAAACCTGAACAAGCATTTTTTTTTTTTACTGATTTTTTTTTTTACAGTGAATGCCAATTTTACATTAAAACAACATGCATTGTGGACTAAAGGTTATCAAAACTGTAGCTCATAGGTCTGCTGCCTGTCTGAATTTTAATTATAATTGGGAAAAAATTTACCAGTTTTAAGTGGAAGAACTTACTATTCTCTTTTTCTTTTTAATTGTAGCTTTAAAACAGCAACAAAATTTACCTGTTTTAAATTCATAGTTCAGGTATGTTAGGTATATTAGCTTTGTTATAAACTGGTCTTCAGAACTGACCTTGTAAAACTGAAACTCTATATGCATTAAACAACCTCATCCCCACACTTATCCCCCCTCAAGCCTCAGGCAAACCTCATTCTACTCTTTGTTTTTGTTTCTAAGAATTTGACTAGCTGCTTCATTTAAGCAGAATCATACAATATTTGTCTTTTCACAATTGGTTTATTTCATTCAGCACAATGCCCTTCAGGCTGAACATTATTCCAGTATATGTATGTATATCATCAATAGGCATTTGAGTTGTTTCCATCTCTTGGTTACGGGAATAAGAATTTATTTAGTTGTTTATTTATTTATTTTTGTGTGTGGTTTGGGGGATCAAATCCATGGCCTTGTACATGCAAGGGGGAAGCACTCTGCCCCTGAGCTACATCCACAGCCCAAGAATTTACACTTTTAAATAGTTGAAAACAAATTTTAAAAGGGTAATTTTTGTAGCATTTGTACATTACATAAAATTCAATCTCAGCATCCATAAAGTTTTATTGGAACTAGCCATGTTTATTTATTTGCACACTGTCTAACAAAGCTCTGCACTCCAATGGTGTGGGTGAAAAGCTGTGTCAGAGACCACAATCTATACAACTGAAAATATTCACTTTCTGGTTGTTTCCAGGAAAAGTTTGTCAACCTCTGGCTTAGCCAAATGAGAGTCTGTATCCTTTTTTGTTGTTGCTCTGTTTTTTGTTTTGTTTTGGTTTGGTTTGGTTTGGTTTTTCTTTTTGGTTTTTGAGATAGGGTCTGGCTACCTAGCCCAGTCTTACCTCAGATTTGTGATCTTCCTGCCTCAGGCTCCCAAGTGCTGGAATTATAGGCATGTGGCCCCACACTGATAACAGCTTGGAGTGTTAACTGCATTTTCTGCCTTGTTCCACAGAAAGTCTTTATTTTCCACATCAGATGAAAATCGTAGTATTCTTAACAAACTTCACATCTAAGAACTTCATCTTCAAAGGAAGCGAAGCGCCATGCTTCGCTTAATTCTTCTTATTTGATCTTTGGAAGAGGTGGAAAATAGCTGGCTCTCGAAGCTGCAGCCCTGAGATGTCTTTTCAAGGCTCTTTCCTCCTAGTCTCCAAACTGACCTGAGCCTTGTTTCTGATGACTCCAAATCCTGGTCCCACATCAGAGCTGTATGCACCAGGTCCTCACCCCTAGAAGTCTGATGTTGAACCCAGGAATCTGTATTCCTCCAGAACTCCATTGTGATGCAATCATAAGTGTCTAACCCATCCCTCACACTCATCTCAAACCCAGCCTCTCCAAGTAGACTTCCAAGATAAACCAGATGAAGCACATGGCCCACTTCTTGCTCAGACAATATTGCATTTGAACTTGATGGGGGCCAACTGAACAGTTTGTTCCTGTCTGTCAAATTCTTTAATTGAACACTTTGCCCCTGCCCTGTGGATCAAATTTTTGAAGAAGGAAATATAGCCTTTTATTTCTTATAGATGCTATCCACCGTGACTTGGAAATTGTTGGAAGTCCTTTTGTTCAAATTTTGCTGCCGATACACAATGTGTAATGCTGCATTACAGCTCTGTCCTGCTATTTTCTCTGATGCGTAGGATGTATGTAATAACACTGAACTTGTCCTTGACTTCCAACATG